ATGCTTGTAATTTGTGTAATTGTTCTTGTTTTATTACTAACTTTATTAAAGCTAGTAGTTTTGCTGTGGTATAGAAGTACTTAAAGTAAGCTTTCGCTAATTTTATTTTATTTTATGTCTTTTTTATTTTTTTTGCTGATCCGAAAAATGATCCGATCCGTGACTCAAAATCCGTAATATGATCCGAACCGTGAGTTTTGTGATCCGTTGCACCACTAGTGACAACAAGATTGCGAATTCGAAAGTGAAAGCGCATGAAGCCCAGCTTATAACATAAAAAAAGAGGAACTCCCATTCTGATGAAAAAGAACGGGTTGAATGTTAACCACTTTCGTTTCCATATAACTATAAACTATGATAAGTTCATCAGCATGCATTGATTAATCCCATGTTGTAGCGCAAAGAAATTTATAAATGAATAATAAAAATAAAATATTGCGACCAAATCATGTGCCTGTGCGACCAACTGCGAAAGTTACTCGAAAAAGAGCGACCAGTGGGAAGAATGAGTCTGGAGCCCTGCTCATGAACCATAAATTCATTATAACTAGGGCTGTCAATCGATTAAATTTTTTAATCTAATTAATCACATCCTTTTTCTGTGATTAATCGCGATTAATCGCACACTTCATGAAATTAAGCATAGACCATTTATCGTTTCAAATGTTTATTTTGTCATAATTTGCTATATCCAGCAAAGTAAACCAAAAGATTGAAGAGTGATTCTCAAAAATCTATATTTTCTGCAAGCTTTTTTCATGATAAATTTAGATGACTTTCTAAAAAGGAACACTTAGAAACTCCAAAAGGACACCAAAGAACCAAATGATATAAGGAGCCCATATAAGCACATATGAAAGAAAATAAAAAATCTGAATTTTATAGTATGCGTACAGTGCAACACCAAAGAGCTTTTTTACATTTTAGAGAAGCCAAGTTGCGATACCGAACAGGACCACATGGAGATGCCAAAAAAAAACGAAACCAACAGCCTGCTGACTGCATATATCTACTACAGTACACGGATCCATTCAGAATAACTAAACACAGCAACATAAACATGACAAATCAAAACATTATCGTGAATGTGTGTGGAAACAACGTGAATGTATGGAAATGTCTCTGCCTGTGCATAAATACAATGTGTGATCAGTGCGTCAAGAGGCCTGTGCGTCTGAGTTTTGATTTGAACTCAAGTGTTAAAGGAGCTCAGTGGCGGTCAGCTCACATGCTGGAGAACAAAGATGTGTGTGTAGAGCTGAAGTTTGCTGGCCTGTTGCTGGAGGAGCACTTCTCTCACACCCTGATATGATTTGGCACAACATCTGCTCTGTCTCTTCCTCTCTATATGCCTGTCTCGTCTGATTCTAGTGTTTCATTTGAAGCTATTTCAGGTTTTAGCCTCTTAAAAGTAAAGTCTTTCAGAGCTAAACTCAATTCCTGACAAGAAATCTTCCCGCTTTCAGCAGCAGAAGCATTATGACAGCTAGAACTGCACTATTGCAGTAACATGCTTGAAATATTTAAGGAATCATCCGACTAAAAATGAAAATTCTTTCATGATATATTCATGTTCAAGACCACTGGTGATCATTGAAGACTGTTATATTGTGCCTTGCAGCGTTCAAACTACATGCACCGAGAGGTGCTGCAGATGACGGAGCTCTACCCCAACGTGAGAGCTACACCCTGGCGCATGGTCACCATCTGGGGCGGTGCCAGTCTGCTGAAGGCCTACCTGCACAGCATGCATGACCTGCTGTCCATGCTGGACTGGAAATGGGACTTCTTCATCAACCTCAGTGCCACCGACTTCCCCACCAGGTCAGCATCGCCTTAGACAGGGCTCTGAAAAAAAAAAACCTGGACAATAAAGTCAGTTCTACCAGTTTCTTAAAAAAGAAAATTCTACATGAACTGGTTGACCTCACTAATTGACTAGTCCTGGGGTTACCAAACTAATAAAAAAATCAATAACTATAACAATCATTTTATTTTACACTGTAAATTACAATGCTGATATTTATGTCTTAAATTGTTTACTTTCAAACGTTCAAACTCTCGAGCTTTAAACATTTCAAATACCCAAGCTTTTATTTTGGCTTTATGCTGTAAACTTCTGTCCACAAAAATGTTGGAAAATATGCAAATGTTAATAAAGTCAGCCTAGAGCACATCGTGTTCCCGAATATAAATATTAAACTCGCAGCTCATTTAGAGATTGAGTTTGTGAGAAACTGTGAACCGAGCCACTCTGAGACCAGTGTATCATGAGCTGCACTTTGCGATTAGTGTTTTGAATTCATTAATTGCGCAGCTGTTTTGAATTTTACATTCGATTCTATTAATTATTAGCTTTTCATCAACTCACAATTCCCTCACGACCCCTCAGTGAACTCCCTTTCAGTGAACCCTGGACTAGTCAGTTAGTGGATGAAGCCATTCCAAAAGATTGTTATGATGATGCCTTCAGTGCTATCTTCCTGGAGAAGTTAATCCCAGAATGCATTGCAGTAAGGTCATTGAAAAAAAATAAGAGATTGGTTGATACTGATTTAAAGTGCCCCTATTAAGCCATTTCGAATACTGCCTTTCGTGCAGTGTGTAATGTAGCTGTCGGTGAATGTAAATTATCTGCAAAGTTGTGAAGCCAATAGTGTGAATCCCACTTCCGTGACGGCCACCCATCACAGGGTAACACATTTGCATAATGCCCGCCTATGTTCTATGTTGGCCGGCCGTGAACAACTTGACCTGCCCTCAAACACTGTAGCATTTCCGTGTGGTTAACATCATGTCGAGAAGCCGCTGTGTCCTATGCTCTGAAAGTAAATTTGTTTTATTTCCACTTCCGAATGATGAGGCTACAAAGAATCTGTGGTTGACATTCGTCTTTTCAACGGTACCACAGCAGATTTGTGTTCCCGTCATTTTACTGACGATTGCTTCTCTTATCTCTGGGAGTTCAACTAAATAATAGATGTTTATATTTTCTATAGATCGTTCAAAATGCACTTAAAGGTTTAGTTCACCCCAAAATGAAAATTCTGTCATTAATTACTCACCCTAATGTCGTTCCAAACCCGTAAGACCTTCGTTCATCTTCGGAACACAAATTAAGATATTTTTGATTAAATGTGAGAGCTCTCAGACCCTGCATAGACAACAACGCAACTGTAATGTTCCCAGGTCGAGAAACGTAGTAAGGACATCTGTAAAACAGTCCATGTGTCATCAGTGGCTCAACTTCAGTTTTGCGAAGCTACGAAAATACTTTTTGAGCGCAAAGAAAACAAAAATAACAATTTATTTATCAATTCTTCTCCCCCGTTTTCGGCCATTTTGGAGAGTACCCAAGAGCGTAATCGACGTAATCAGCGGTTTTTACGTTCGGAGGAGAAAGCGCGCGCATGAGAATAATCTGCGTAATCAGCGTTGTTTACGTTCGGAGGAGAAAGCGTGCGCATGAACGTAATCAGCGTAATCAGCGTTGTTTATGTTCGGAGGAGAAAGCGCGCGCATGAACGTAATCTGCGTAATCAGTGTTGTTTACGCTTAGGGGAAAGCGTGCGTATGTGCTTCGCTACTCTCTAAAATGGTGGAAGAAGTAACTCGGGGGAGAAGAATTGAGAATTTTTATTTTTGTTTTCTTTGCGCTCAAAAAGTATTCTCGTAGCTTCGCAAAACTGAAGTTGAGCCACTGTCACATGGACTGTTTTACCGATGTCCTTACTACGTTTCTGGACCTGGGAACATTACAGTTGCGTTGCTGTCTATGCAGGGTCTGAGAGCTCTCACATTTAATCAAAAATATCTTAATTTGTGTTCCGAAGATGAACGAAGGTCTTACTGGTTTGGAACGACATGAGGGTGAGTAATTAATGACAGAATTTTCATTTTTGGGTAAACTAACCCTTTAATTGTTATAAAAGAGGCATCTAATGCTCAACTAATGCAGAAGCGTATAATACTACCTGTCGTACTTCGAGGTTTTCACCTTCGCTTGGCATTCTGATACAGTTCCCACACATGCACCTATAAATTATAACCATGATAACAACAAACTAAGTTGACACTGAGAAACATCCTGCTCCAGTCATGCTTGCGAATCAGTGTCTGGTTGATCAACTAGACGTTTCATCATCGGACTCAGGCTCGAATTACATGACCTTGCATGCATGTAAACCTGTTGTAAAACAATATTAGGAGCTTTAAAAATGGCATAATAGGGGCACTTTAAGAGATACATATGGAAGAACCTTCTCTTGAGCCTGTGTCTGAAGACGTCAAGTCAGAGCTGCTCTCATTGTGTGCAAGCGTGATGATGCTGGCAAATCCGTCTCTTTCTCTGCAATCTGTTTCGGGAGGATTTCTTTAACACATTAGAGCCTTATGATTTCACAATCCCTCCAGCTGTTGATGCTTTCTCTTTTTTTAAAACAAGCTAAATAAGCCAAATCGGTGTACATGGCCTGATGCACATGCACAAATCCTGTCAGCAGCAGCTAATTCCTTCCAGATGAAGACTTCACCCACGACACCCTGCAGTCAGAGCTGGGTTTCTGACATAATTCCTCGTTTTTATCTCTTCTCTCCTCTCACTGTCATCTAAAACAGGACCAACAATGAGCTTGTGGCTTTTCTCTCCCAGAACCGTGACAAGAACTTCCTGAAGTCTCATGGCAGAGAGAACGCAAGGTAAACTCATTTCCGATTCAACTCTGAGGTTATTCCAGGTCGGGTTACTAGTTCTCATATACTGTCCGCATCTTGGGATGCTCTAAATGACAGCTCAATCACAGTTTATCTACTTTGTTTGTGGGCTGGGATTATGCAAATGAGATTTTTTTTCTTTTGGATCAGAGTTATGAATTCATTCAATTAAATGATTCGAATTGATTCACAGAATAAATCAAACTCTAGCACTTATTTTGCTATTGAAGCAATTCTGTCTTGATGCTTTCATACTCAGATCATGAGACGAGGAAGGATTGCCAAACCAGTCTAAAGGCATGACCTTTAGGAAACTTAATGTCCAAACTGTATGCATTAAAATCATTGTGCTGTTCACAATGTTGCCTAATTATGCACGACAGTTATTTTTTGAAAGAATTTAATATTTTTATTCAGCAAGGACACATTAAATTGATTAAAATTGACATTGTTACCAAAAGTTTGTTTTAAATGCTGTTTTTTTTTTTCAAACTTTATATTCATCAAATAATTCTGAAAAAAATATATCACAGTTTCCACAAAAATCATGAAGCCGCACAACTGTTTTCAACATTGATAATAATAATAAAAAATTCTTGAGTATCAAATCGGTGTATTAGAATGATATTAGAAGGATCATGTGACACTGAAGACTGGAGTTATGATGCTGAAAATTCAGCTTTGCATCACAGGAATAAATTACATTTTAACATATAAATAGAAAACATCTATTTTAAATTGTAATAATATTTTCACTGTTTTTACTGTATTTTGATCAAATAAATGCAGCCTTGTTGAGCATGAGAGACTTAAAAAAAAAAATCTCACTGACCTCAAACTTTTTAATGGTAGTAAATATCGCCAAAACAATTATTGTGAGTATTCAATATATCGACCAGCTTTATATTTGGATCCATGATAATTAATGATGTCCGAGACAATGAAAAGAAAGTTATAGTGTTAAATTGTCTAATTATTAGAAACTTAATCGTTGTTTTCATGTTTCTTTCATACATTAGAAATAAAAAAAAGATTGACAAGTGGTGTAATGAAGTAATAACCTTTACCTTGCACCTAATATATGCATTTTCAAAAAGTTTTCAAACATTTGTTTTACAAAAATATTGAATATTTGAATCATGAATATCATAATTTTATTTGAGTTTTGTCACTTGGAATATATATATAAAAAAATAAAAAAACTTCACTGACCTTGCCATGCAGTTTACCACAATGATTTGGAGGTCAATATAAAAGATTGTTCCAAACTACTTTTATAAAAGGTTTTTTTTTTCTTTCTCTTCAGAAATTTCGGCCTTTTAATGAGACTCCTTCTGTCATTCATTATGATTTCAGGATAGTTACACCGTCTTGACACTGTTGACATGCCTCAAATAATGCAGCTGTGACAGTGTTTATAATGACATCAGTCAAAATCCTGCTCTCTCCTGTCACGTAGGTTCATTAAGAAGCAGGGTTTGGACCGCCTGTTCCACGAATGTGACAACCACATGTGGCGTCTGGGCGAACGCACCATCCCTGAGGGGCTGGAGGTGTCAGGAGGCTCGGACTGGTTCTCCCTCACGCACAAGTTTGTGGAATATGTGATAAACTCACAGGACGAGCTGGTGACGGGGCTCAAGCAGTTTTACACCTACGCTCTTCTGCCTGCTGAGGTACTGGACTAATAAAATTAAATCATAAAAGATGATATGACCCATTTAAAGAAACACGATGAATCACTGTTATTGTTGTGTATTAAATCGGGTTTAATCATAAAGTGATAAGTCTGTTGATGTGATACTCCCATGTTAATTTTATTTAATTGGCACAGCAGTGAGCTGTAAACATTAAGTGCTGTGTCCCTAAGGGTATATTAAATGATTCCTCTCTGTCTGGTTTTCAGTCTTTCTTTCACACTGTGCTGGGAAACAGTCACATGTGTGATACTTTGGTCGACAACAATCTGCGTGTGACCAACTGGAACAGGAAGTTGGGCTGCAAGTGCCAGTATAAGCATATAGTGGACTGGTGCGGCTGCTCACCAAATGACTTCAAACCCTCAGACCTCATCAGAATACAGGTCAGTGAACCGTTAAGCGATCCCTGCAGATATATTGAGTCAGTAGCCACACAGTATTGAAACGATCACAGTGAGTCTCAATGCGAACAATGTGTACAATGTGCACGCTATTATTAGTGAATGGGAACCAGTGTATTTCTTAACAAATTGCCTTTTCTTGCTAGAAACTGCACCTGATCATAGACATTTGACACCACCTCAACCCTTCTTTTCTCCCATGATAGCAACTAACGCGGCCCACGTTCTTCGCCCGTAAGTTTGAGTCCACTGTGAACCAGGAGGCTATTGAGATCCTGGACAATCATCTGTATGGGCAGTACCCTCCGGGCACAGTGGCACTGAAAGCGTACTGGGAGAGCCTGTTCGAGCAGGCTGATGGGGTCTCGTCCCTCAATGATGTGGCCCTCACGGCGTACTCCTCCTTCTTTAGACTGGGCCTCCGTAAGCCACTCAAAAGCAGTTCTGAGACCTGCAGGTGACAGTTCCATCCATCCCAATTCATTCCACTCAATCCATCCTGTCCATTCCATCAGTCTGCCCCAATCCATTCATTATTCCAGTCAGTCCCTCCATCCATCCCTCATACCCATTGCTTAAATCTATCCCTCCATTCCCAATCAATGATCAATCAATCCAAACCATCCCAGTCTTTCTATCAAAATCCATCCTTCCATTCCAATCCATCATCTATCCAGTCCATCCCAATCTTTCTATGCCGATCCATCCCTCTATCAAAATCCATCCTTCCATCCTAACCCATCCATCCCTCCATTCCAACCCATCCATCTATCCAAACCATCCCAGTCTTTCTATCAAAATCCATCATTCAAACCAATCGATCCATCCCTCATACCCATTGCTTAAATCTATCCCTCCATTCCCAATCCATCCATCAATCCAAACCATCCCAATCTTTCTGTCAAAATCCATCCTTCCATCCATCCCTCCATTCCAACCGATCCATCAATCCAAACCATCCCAGTCTTTCTATCAAAATCCATCCTTCCATCCCAATCCATCCATCTATCCAGTCCATCCCAATCTTTCTGTGCCAATCCATCCCTCTATGAAAATCCATCCTTTCATCCCAATCCATCCATCCCTCCATTCCAACCCATCCATCTATCCAAACCATCCCAGTCTTTCTATCAAAATCCATCTTTCCATCCCAATCTTTCTATCCCAATCCATCCCTCCATCAGCATTCATCCCAATCCATCCATCCATTCCTCCAGTCCAGTCATCAGATGATTAATTTGATGAATAGTTTTTTTACCCACAGGTTTGAACCTATTGGCTACCCCGTCTCGGTGCACCTGTATTTTTATGATGACCGTTTCCAGGGTTACCTGGTCAGGCAAGAGGTGCAGAATGTGGTGACCAGGTCCCGTGAGATGCTAGAGGTGTGGGCTGTTCCTCAAGCAACACTGCAGCTAGAACACAACCTTCACGAGTTTGAACGCCTCAAACACCTTGAGGTGAGAAGAATAGGGAGACCATTGTAAATGATTTGGTATACTCCACAGTCACAATGTTACGGACATAACAACAGATAATTTCTTCTGTATTGTAACGTACATTGGAGTAAAATGTATTACCAAATAAAAGCGCAGAGACTTTTTCTATGCATCGGCTGTTGATTAGATGGAGTCAGATGTGAATGCGAGCTTGAGGTCAATTGTAAGGAAGGGGCAGGGTTCAAGAGGCCAATATAATTGGAGAACTATATGTCACCACATCAAAGTCTATTTTACCGGAAGATCCAGTTATGACATTTTATTTAAAAAGTCTTAAGACATAAAGGAAATGCATACATGAATCATTATTTACAATGAGATACAAAAAATTTGCATTTAGAAAATAGTGAATACGTTCTGTAGTTCTTTAACATCGTGTATTTTGTGCATGCTGTTTTATACTAGGTCGGAACTGAGTGGGACCCAAAGGAGCGAATCTTCCGTAACTTTGGTGGAGTGATGGGACCTCTAGACGAGCCGGTGGCAGTTCAGAAGTGGGCTCGTGGACCCAACCTGACAGCCACCATAGTGTGGATTGACCCAGCACACATAGTAGCTGCCTCCTATGACATCAGCATAGACGTTGAGGCAGAGTTTACGCAATACAAGCCACCGCTTCAGCGCCCCCTCAGGCCTGGAGTTTGGACGGTGCGTGTGCTGCGGTTGTGGGAGCGTGTAGCAGAAGCTCGATTTCTGGTCATGCCTCTGGCCTTCAAGGGACGTGAGCCCCTGCGCACAGGTGAGACACCAACGTGAAATGTCATCACAATTTAAAATAACCATTTTCTATTTGAATACACTCAAGAAACATTTATTATTATCAATGTTGAAAACATCCTGGTAAATATTTTTGTGGAAACCATGATACATTTTTTCAGGATTCTTTGATGAATAGAAAGTTTAAAAGAACCACATTTATTTGAAATAGAAATCTTTTGCAACGTTGTAAATGCCTCTACTGCCACTTTTGATCAATTTAATGCATCCTTGCTAAATAAAAATATGAATTTCTAAAAGCAAAATTGTACTAACCCCAAACTTTTGAACAGTATTTTATCTATATATTTAGATTTTATTTAAATATTGAATTATATAAAATAATATAATATTTTAAGTAACATTGTTACTAGTGGATAATGCTCCTGTTATTTGGCCAATACATTTCATAAATGATCAACGTTCTGATGTAAACAATATGTATTGTCATGTGTGACCCTGGAGCACAAAAGCAGTCTTAAGTCGCTGGGGTATATTTGTAGCAATAGCCAAAAAAACATTGTATGGGTCAAAATGATTGATTTTTCTTTTATGCCAAAAATCATTAGGATATTAAGTAAAGATCATGTTCCATGAAGATATTTTGTAAATTTCAGCTTTCAGATAATGTATAAATCTCAATTTCGAAAAATTGACCCTTATGACTGGTTTTGTGGTCCAGGGTCACATATTGGTTCTTATAAATTATTAAATATTCCTCCTCGTGTTCATTTAGTAGAAAAAAAAAAGATTTAAAAAAATGTCCATTTGCTACATTTAAAATGTATTTTTGCATCAAATATCAGTTCCTCTGATTGGATGAAATTTTAGAATAAATATGTAAGTGTTATAGATATAGATGTATCGAGTAAGATAGATCTTCTCTTCTCTTCAGAAGACCATGGCTGGGTACACGCAGGTCCGCCAGGTAACGTTTATTTGGAGCAAAGCTTCCAGCAGCTCGCCCACGTGTTGAAGCTGCCGCCCAGTGAGCCCGCCGTGCAGGAGGCGCAGAAGAAGACCTCCCTGGTGGGGAAGCCGCTGGAGGCCTGGGTGGACAGCTCTGTGGAGGCTTTCTGGGTCACGGGAGACATTTGCTCTGACCAGACCTCCTCCTGTCCCACCGTAGGACTCTGCACCAAGACCTCTTGGAGTTCCTTGTCCCCTGACCCCAAATCAGAACTGGGGCCAGTCAAAAAAGACGGTCGCATTAGGTAGCCTTGCAAGCTCGTACAAATAGAGCGGAGTGGCGAAGGCCCTGAAGAACAGTTCACAAGAGTGATGTTTACGAGTTGTGGTCTTTCAGACCATCCCATTACTAGTCAAGGCACCTTCTGCTGAGGGCGGGAACTGGTTGAGGGTGAATCTACGAGAGAAAATGTCTAAATTTGCACAAGATGACTGCCAGACGTGGACATATGAGTCTTGCTTTTATAAATCAATGTTCAGATGTCATCTAAATACGTTATTACAAGGTTCGGAGTCTTATTAGCACATAGTTTACAGTGTGGGTTTGTGATGCAAAGACCCAAATCTCAACGATTTTACACTATTATTCTTTGTTACGAGAAAAACAAAACAAACTGTGCACATTATTTTCCTCTGTAAAACAGTGGCCAAAATTGTTATTTGAAGCTGTTGGAGGCAAATCGCTGGAGTCCTCTGGCTGTATCGCTATGCTTATTTTGAAGCATTAATATCAAAACTTCAGAAGCAGATTGAAGAAGTGCACTTTATTGTAAAACGAAGCTCCCTTCTGATTGGCTGAGTCTCAGCAGAGGAGGCGGAGCTTGTAGAATCGTCATGAATTTCTGCCAGTGGATTGATACATTCGTTCACTTAACGAGTTTCAGCTGCCCGGAGACGCAGCGCTGCATGGAATCATCGTACACCGCAACAAAACAAACACTAACGGAAACCGTCTGTCAGGAAACAATCTGAGTTTTGTAATACTGTGACTTTGTCTTCATGATGAATGTCCTTTGAGTTGAAAAACGGCTCATCTGGAGGACCATCTTTCGTCCGTTACTGCAAAGTTTTCTCAGCCGCACACAAATCACAAAGTACGAGGACGTGGATTGAAATATTTGAGACTGCCTGAAGATCTGACCTTGATGAAGATCAATCCGTGATCTGTAGCTCATACATACACCTGTGCTTGTATACCGCGTCACAATATTTCACGCTTAATTCTGGTCTTCCACTAGTTTGGTTTTTAACTATGAATAAGTTTTACACTCTTTGTTGAATAGCTGGAGACTTGAGTTACAGTAGCTGCTCCTACAGTATGTTCCCATAATTTAAAGGAATATTTCACCTAATAATGTCAATCTATATGACTTTCTTCTGTGGAACAAAAAAGAAGACCTTACAAGTAATGGTCACAGCATTGAATGAACGAAAATGACTCATGTGCTGTATTTCAAGTCTTGAGAAACAGTTATTCTCAGAAAATCTCCCCCTCCCTCTGTGTCTACAAAATCGCATTTACAATTATCTGTGTTGAAAGCTACAATTTTTATGTTAAAGGGTTAGTTCACCCAAAAATGAAAATTAGGCTGTGTTTTTTTACTCACCCCCGAGGCATCCTAGATGCATGACTTTCTTCTTTCAGACGAATCCAGTCGGAGTTATATTAAAAATTGTCCTGGCTATTCCAAGCTCTATCATTGCAGTCAGCGGGTGTTGTAGTGCTTCAGTCCAAAAGAAGTTAAATAAAAATCGCCCATCCATTAAAAAAAAAGTGTCTCACACGGCTCCGGGGGGTGAACAAAGGCCTCCTGTAGCGAACCGATGCGTTTTTGTAAGAAAAATATCCATATTCAAAACATAAT